CTCATTTGGCGTGAGTACTTTTATACAATGTCCGTAAATAATCCTAATTACGATCGCATGGAGGGAAATGCGATCTGCTTGAGTATTCCATGGGCCAAGCCAGTTGCCGATCAGTTGCAACGTTGGCGCAGCGGTCATACGGGTTTTCCGCTAATTGACGCGGCGATGCGTCAATTGCTGGCCGAAGGTTGGTTACACCACACGCTGCGCAATACGGTGGCCACTTTCCTGACACGTGGCGCACTCTGGCAAAACTGGGAGCACGGCTTGCGGCACTTTCTCAAGTACTTGTTGGACGCTGATTGGTCGGTTTGTGCAGGCAATTGGATGTGGGTTTCATCGTCAGCGTTTGAGCGCCTACTGGACTCCTCATTGGTATCATGTCCGATTGCCTTTTCGAAGCGACTCGATCCGAAAGGCGAATACATAAGGCAGTACGTGCCAGAGTTGGCAAATGTGCCGCAGGAATATATGTAAGTGGTATTTAGTAAATTTAATAAGTAAATAGAGTGGAAACAACTTGCCGATTAATCTTTCTCTTTGTTCGTTTTTCTTTTTCTTTTGTTTAGTCACGAACCTTGGCGCATGCCTCAAGAGCTGCAGGAGCGCTACGAGTGTCTAGTTGGTGTGCACTATCCTGAGCGTATTGTCGACTTGGCTAAAGTATCCAAACGGAATACACTCGCTATGCAAGCGCTCAGACATTCATTGATTGCCGAAGGCGCACCAGACGAAGGACCACCCCACTGTCGTCCATCCAACGAGGATGAAGTGCGTCAATTCTTTTGGTTGGTCGATTGAGCGGCGAAGATCTTAGCTAAATAGTAGCATGAATCGAATTTTATGTGTAACTAAGAAATTATATTGTGGATTGGATTAGACACTACATACTCAGCATGAAATATATGTAAACCAAAATTATTCAAAGTAAATCTGTGGTATTCTAGTTGGGGCTGACCTGGCATGCCACAGTATTTATAGCCAGAGCCAACGAAGTATTTTTACTGACGTTTGTACGGTACATTCACCAGGACTGTTGGACTGGATTCTTAGCTGCGATTTTCTTCGCTAAAAGCCTGCCGATCGGTAATCAAAGCACAAAGCTTTTTAAAGATTATTGCGTTTAATGCGGACCAGCAGTAACCGAAGACGCGGAGCACTTATTTTCCAAATGTGCCCGTTTAACCTCCTTGAGAGACGCACTTAACTGTAAGCTTTGAAAGGCAGGAAAGTGATAAAAAGATGTTTGCCATGTATTAAAATAACTCCCGACACAGCCTATAATGACAGCTATGCAGGCCATAGAAATAGCCCGTTTTATTTATTTTCATCATAGACTTACCTGTTATAGGAAAGCCAGCAATCCTTGGTATTTCTTTAACATACAGTTTGAAGCCGACAGTTGGTAGGTATATCGTATCCTTTTCTAGAAGGATGAGTTCATAAATATAAAAGTAGGCTATCTCAATCAGAGATATACGCCTTTCAGGGCTACCTGAATAGCAGCGAAAAAGACGATTCGTTTCCCGTCTAGGTCTTTGATAGAGACTCCGCGCTGCAACAGGAACACTGCGAAGACTGCAACCTGACATACATTACAGTGTTCGGAGAGCCTAAAAGATGCATCTAATCTCAGTTAAGATGGCAAAACTCTTACTCCGACTCCAGTCCTGTCGTATCTGTCAGTATCTGTTTATTGCTGTCGATATTGTCGCCACCTTACGGGAATAAATGGTGATCCTTTTTAAGTACAATAAAGTCGATCATTATACATACATACCTACTTATGATCATACAGTAGTAACACATATGTATAGAGAATGGAACAGGTGACGAGCGCTGGGTCTATGCAAAGATTGCTGGTAAGTGCCGTCATTCCTCTTCTTCCAGTTTTTTTTTACAGGCAATTTGTCTTTTGCCGAATGACATTCTCTTCCTCTTAATTTTCGCCCCGAGTCCAGGCAAGCACGCCAGCCATTTCTCTTCTGTGCTGACACCAATCGGAAATGCCAAGTGAAGTCAAGTAGATGCTTTCCATCGCAAAGGGATGATTTCCTCTTCCTCTGTTACCAGCATGGCGACCCACGCTGGATACTTTCAGATTCGAATGACATTAAATTAAATCAGATAATCTCAGTTGTTGTAATTTTTGTCGTTTCGCTGAACCTTGGTCCAGTACTATTTTTAATTAGTTTTGCACATCCCCTAAGTAATTTCTAGAATGTAAATCTGCATAAGTGCAAATCGGTTAATTTCACCGCCATTTGGTCTTTTTTTTTGCCATTTTAATCAGAGTTTTCAATAAGTTTTTTCCTTGAAGACTGATCGTACACGTTCGTTCGAACGACCATTGAATCACTAAGAGGCAATCGAGTGTGTGCTAAAAAGAGTTAAGCCAATTTGAGAAAGAATTCAGCTTAATATAGAATTCTGCACTTCTTTTTGTATTAATAGCAGGACCAGCTAAAGAAGCCACGACGCCCCGGGCGTCTATATGGAACGAGGCACCCTTTGATAATAATCAGCCTCATTGCATATGTATATCGTAAATTAGACTAAATTGTACAACTCGACAACATTGGCATTGCCTATTGTCGTGCTGAAATAAGTAGACGACGAAAACTGTCGAAAACTAACCAGTGCTGCCAAGTTTTTCCGTTTTAATACAATAGTCGAGTCGAAATTTTAGGCAATGATATGAAATTTTCGATACGATTCGACTCTCGAAAAACGACTTGCATTCGTCACGACTTTCGCAGTGAGGCTGAATACTCAAACATTTCAAACTATTGCAGCGCTATGAGTAAAATGTTGAGACTTTAGTTTCCAAATGTTCTTCGAGAAAAAATTTCCTAAGACATTGCTCCCGTTTTGTTCTTTGCCATTGTTCTCAATGGAGAGCGACTATGTCATCATTTTAAGGCCTTAATCTTTGTAATCCGTCCTATAAAATTTTGGACATCGAACTGTACCGGTTGACGTGATATGGAAATGAATTTTACGCCGCTTCCTTTACATCGCTATGTTTGGCACGTTCCCGGTCGGGATCTAAGCGTCGTACAAAAAAAAATGTTCGTACAAAAGTTGTGGAGAATTAAAATCTCTACAACCATGAAATTTCAATATGCTACGTATTTTCAACAGAAATTGTCGAAAAATGGCGAAAACCATGACAACGCGAAATTTTTTCGCAGTGTTTGCTAATTACACTGGTTTACAGCAAAAATGTTCAATGGATGCCACTATCTAATTTCTATGTAGAATTTCCCGGTGATTCCGAAAATCTAGTTAATTTGTTTTTCTATGGCTACGTTGCCGAGATATTTGCAATTTACCGTTATTCAGCTTAAAACAAAAAGTGGTTCCACTTAACCACGTATATCTTACGAATCAATTCAACAATTTTAAGATGAGATGAAATGAAAGCTAATAAAATTCTCCATAAACTATTTATACATCACTTTTCGATAGGACTGATAGTTTCTGACAAATTTTATTACTCATGCCAGTTTTTTTTTTTAATTTTTAATGGAAAAATCAAAAATAAAATCAAACTTTATGTTACTCATACGGCACGTATACCTGGCTAATACTCGACAGGCAATGGCAAACCTCCGAGTGTATTTCTGCCATGAAAAACAGCTTTTCATAAAAATACAATCGCCGTTCGGAGTAGGCGTAAAACTGTAGGGGACCTTTGTGTGACAGCATCAAGGCGCACGCCACAAATCAGAGGGGAAACCCAAAAAACTTAAAATTCAAGATGGCGGTATGTTGCCATATGAAATAGAAGTAAACTCGTGTTACAATTTTTTTTTATCTAATTTTACTAGGCTAAACTTTTATAAGAGTGGTTCCGTTTTAGTTTTTGTACGTCTGCACTTTTTATAAGCTTTCCGATAAGATATTAATTTTAGTGGAAAAAATATCGTCGTTTAAAGTACAAAACTGCGTACCGTCATTCTGCAAAACCGAGTAACTGCCATTTGCTGCCAAAAATTGGATTTCCTCACACAAGCTCTTGCCTCAATCCTTATCCATTCGTCCGGAAATATTACTAGCCAGAAATCCTATTGCTTTATAAAAAAAGAGAACCATTTTGAAATATCAGTGGTTTTACTATCTAGAAAATAATTTATGCAACCTCACATACGCGGTGATCTTCAAATCTACTGTTATAATCCCAATTTGTTCCGGCGACTGACGACTCAAGTAATTTGTGTTCGTACAATTGCCGACTCGTTCGCCTGTGTCACCATTCAAGCCCAGAGAGACGCAAAGGACGTTCGACTTGTTTAGCGAACCTCGTAGTTTGAATAAATAAAATATGGAACTCAACTTTGTCTTTGGTCGACAATAGCGTGTTTTTCCTTTTCCAAAAAAAAAACATTTCCACTTCCCTAAAAATCCGTCTACGAAATCTACGAAAACTAAAATACATTTACTTTTGCTTTTTATTTTGTTTATTTGCTTTACTCTTTTAGGTTTGCATTTTATTTATATACTTTTCAACTTTTTTATTTAGCTTTTTCTCTAGTTTTTTTCATAGTTTATATAAGTTACTTTTTGTCGCAATTACTATGTATAAGCAAATCTTCGTACAATTAAATAACATTTTTTTAGCTTTCTCTCGGATTTCTTCACTCTAAATTTTTTTGTTTTTGTGTTTTTTTTTTTCGTGTGTGTTTTCTTTTTAATTTAAATGGAGTTCTAAGTTTTCATTAATGAGTTATTAAAATTGAACTTATGTATGACTTTTCAGCTGCGATCGCCACTTCTGCTGCTTGCTTCTACTGCTGCTTCTTCGCTGGGGAGTCAGCCATACTAACTCACGGCTGCTACTTTAGCTAAGATTTCTCCTTGGCGTCTTCATCAATTAACCTTCGAATTTACAATGTTTCTATACATTTTTATGTTTATATGAAGTTTTTTGTTTTTTTTTTTTGTTTTTAGAATGGCTTTATGTGCTGTTGTGGTTGAGCTAGAGGGGAGGAGGGTTGTGCTTAGATGATTATCGGCATGATTTAAATTTTATTTTTATATTTCTCATAGAAGATGATGAAGTGTAATAATTATTTAATTATATATTTAATTATTTGTTTTATTTTTTTTTTAATTTTAAACGTTTATTAATCAATTTAATTTAGATACTTGTAATTGTTTCAATTTCTCCTTGCCATACATACATGTATAATATATTTATATATAAACGCATTAAATTTGTGAATTATACTTATATATTATTTAAAAATTAACTATTGCATTATTCTTTTTTAATTTCTTTTCTTTTTTATAATTATTATGTATAATAAATTTCTTGCTTTGCTTTATTTTAGTACGGTAATCTTTCTTAAATTGGGCAAGTCTATTGTTTTGTTGTTGTTGGTATTTTAAAGTGCTTTTCTGTTGGTTGGTTGGTTGGTTGACTGGTTTCAAATATAAATATATTTTATTGTTATTGTACGCTTAACTAAGCTATATGTATGTAAGTGCAAAAAAGAGTTTACGTAGAAATTATAATAAAAATTTACATACAACTAAATGAAGAAAAAAAAAACATAAAAATTAAATTTGCTGTTGATGATTCACTTTCATATACTTTCTCCTTAATTTTGCTGTGGTGACTGCTGGCAAAAATAGTGTCTACAGTACGCATATAAGTATGTAGTATATTATGTACAGAATGTCCATGTATGCATATTTATAACTGTACAACTACACCACTTTCCACTCGGTAGTAGTAGAGTAGTTCCTGCTATATAATTCTGCTTACCAACTTACTATGTTTTATGGCTGTTGAATGTTTTTGGGCTGTGCATATGAAAATCTCTTAAGAATGTGTGCTAATGTTCATCTCTACTATTGCTTTATTGTTTTGATTTTTTTTCGCCGGTTTGGTGTTTTCTGATTTTTTTTTTTCTTTTTTTGGTTCTAATTTTGTAGTTGCTGCTGTAATTTTATTTTTGTGTTGTTTTGTTGTTACTTTTATCATATTCTTGTCTAATTTTCCTTGGTTTTTTTGTTTAGCATTTAATCAGTATCAGCACGCATGCCTCGCACCTCGCCCACTTGACGCTGCTTATCGAGCTCTTCTTTGACTTTCTCCTCGATAGCGCGTATATCTTCCATTGTCAGACCGTGCCAGCGATCCATCCAACAGAAAACTTGGCTGCAAATAAAATGTGAAAATTTGTTAGAAGTTTCTTAGGTTTGTCTTTCCTTTTTATGCAGAGATATTTGCTATATTCAAGCGATCCGTCTTGCTCATTGCATTATTTGCAAAATCTGAATTAATATTTTAATAACATTACAAAAGTAAAATTATAATTAATTGTTACAATTTTTTTTCTGTGCCTTGAACAAAAAGTTTGGTTAAACATTGTTTTTTTGTTTTTTTTTTTCTTTTAGATATCAATTACTCCTGGAGAATTCTTCCAAAGCAGCTCAACTTAGAAAACTTGAGTGATTGAGCTGGTAAAGAATTTTACAAAAATTTTTGTAAGAAAATTAATGAATCTTTTTCTAAATATTTTAAAATATACAAAAATATATGTACATCTCCTTAAATTGTGACACTCAATTGCATAACATTTTTGTAGTAATATTTGAAATATTTAAGGTAAAATCTTTTATCAGCCGAAGTATCTTTTACTAAAATTTACATTGAAAAATTTGTTGTTAGTATTACAAAAAACTGATCTGAATCGCCCCATATGTATAATTTTATTCTCTACTCACCGATGGAAGTTTGTAAATAATCGTCGCTCTGACTTTTGTATGAAATTTTCTATTCTTGTCTGCAAACCGAACCACTTGAATTCGCATGTCACCAGCTTGTAGCACGTCATGACTGGATCGACACTTTTCTTCCAGTTTGGACCCACCAGTGGGCCACGACCGGTTTTCTCTGACTTGAATCTAAATGAAAATTAAATATTTAAATTAATATTAAATAATTTTTATTAAAGCACGAAAATAATTTTAAATTTTTTGGATTCTATTAACTGAAGGTGAGTGAGAAATAGAAAACCTATAGGAGTATTCACGATCCGGTGCATACTGTCTAGCACGGTGCATAGATAGCATAAATAGCATGCTTGGCTAATTTTGTTTTTGTTTGAACACATGAAATGTTAGACAGTATGCGCCCGATCGTGAAATGAAAAGTAGTGTTTGCAATAAACGTTGATTTACATTTAAATTTTTCAACTGAAATTGGCTCAGAGCAGGTCAGAACTTTCGAGTTATAATTTCCAACAAATTTTACTAATTGTTATAGCGGTTTGCCGTGACCATAGTTCACCTATGTACATTTTTAAATGGTTACACACATACATATGTATAATTTTCATATACATATGTGTACTCACTTTGTTGGATCCTCAGTGGGCTTGTAATCGACAGGCAATACGGGATCATTCGCAATGTCGATATGCACAACGTCTCGTGTTTTAAGCTTCTCCGGTGGCAGTTCATGCACCTAAATGTAATCAATAAACAAATACAATTAAAATTTCTGAATCGTGATTAAATTAATTGAGGTACGAGTAAAAAAAAAAATCAGAAATAATTAAGCAGGGAGTGTTCTCTGTCTCTCTTTTCCAATTATGTGCAAATTAAATATGTATCAAAATTAAAAAATAATATGTAACAAAATTAAAAAATAATATGTATCAAAATTAAAAAATAATATACGTACATATATAAAAAATAAAAGGGCCATCTTCACGAATGTCGTTTTCTTGTCATCAAATATAAATTATGCGCTTTCGTTTTCAATAATTATTTGGTTTATATAATCTTCATACAAATATTAAAAAATAATTAAACTTGACCCAAAGTAAACAAAAAAAGTAAAACAAAAAATAATAAAAAGGAATCAAAAAATAAAAAAGCCCAAAAAAATAGAAATAAAACAAAAAAATAAAAATAAAACAAAACAAAAATAAAAATAAAACAAAAAAATAAAAATAACCCAAAAATAACAACAACAATACAATTAAATAAATAGATATGAACATAAACAATTAATAACATTGATCTAAGAGTTTTTCTTTTTGAATTACATAATATGGACATGCATACAACAATAAAAAATAACCTACGGTTGGACCAGCATTAACTTTTTTTCACAATGTAGAGAATGCATAAAAAAAGCTAAGTTATATTATACTTTTTTTTACAAAAATTACTGCATTTAAAAATGAGTAAACTAGAATAATCAAATACTATCACAACCATAGAAGAGTTACTAGATTAAATTTCGCCTTCGATAAGCTTACACCAAATTACATAAACTAAGAGAGTATTCAAACGCATAACCTGTAAGGCAGAGCCCCTACAAAACTTATGAGGGTATCAAAGTTACATGCAGGCTAAGGGCTAGTAATGAACATCACTTCTTCGTAGTGAGACGATCTGTCCACTCACAGAGTCTGTGGAGAACTCACTCACATTGATTGTTTATACGCATTTTTCGGCAAATTCTTAAGAAATGTGTATATGCACTGAGACGGCATTTTTTAAAGTGGTTAGAACAATTGAGAGCTCGCAGGAGTACACTCTGAAGGCTTTCCTTGGCATGAAAGTACCCTTTAAAAAGTCTTCAGACTTTTCAGAAAAGACTTAAGACGAGCATGGGCGTCGATAAGTGTAACAGCTCATCGTCATTTTCAGAACGATTTTAACAGAATTGGAGAATCGCATATTAATGAGCAAGGGCACAGCTCAGGGTGGAATGATTTCGTCACTTTTATGGAGTACCACTAGCAACCCACATTACTACTCAAGCTCAACCAGAGGAGAGTGAAACTAGTGGCCTATGCCGATGATGTGGTAATGTTAGTTACTTTCATTTTCGGTGAACAACATCATGGAATCAGCTATAGCTAAGCTAAACCGATGAGCTAAATAAAGTGGTATTAGCAACACAGGAAAAATATGTAACTGATAGCTTTTAACTACATACATACATATCTGTGGACTTTTGAAAAAAAAAAACAACTTCTCTCGAGTGAGGTCATTTTCTCTTCAAAGCTGTCGAATGATATTTTTATATTCAGTCATTAATAGGAGTAGTTCAAGATGCTATCTTAATGAAAGTTAAATAAAAATATCAAATTTTTAAATGTAAATTCCTTATAATTTACTCTAATTTTCAACCTACAGAAAGCACAGAGGTGGTTTTGTCAGAAGTCCACAGATATGTACATACATATATAGATAATGAGCATAGTAATAAAATTCCTTGGTTTCTTTCCAAGATATGGCAGGGCATGAGTACAAACGACTTAAAATTGAATTCACCCGCCGAAAGCCAACTGGGACGGGGAATTGTATACTTTCATTTTCTCTGAATCTCTGAGGGTAAGGAAGATCAATCTGTCTGCCGCTTTACTTTCGACGACGGCTTGTGACTTTTGAAGCGTAGTAGCTTATGCCTCCCACAAGGCGAACAAAAGACAGCCAGGCGGACATTATGGCTCTGTCGTCTTTTACAACAAAGTCGAAGCTGGCTAAGGTGAGCAGAACTCTATTGAATATACTAACTATATATACTCAGTTCGAAGTAGCGTCATTTTGGTTGCCTTTTCATCACAATGTTCTCGGAAATGAGGCTATTGAGGATTAAGCCGGATCTCCACCGCAATGTGGCCCATATATGTATATAAATACTACATCAAAAGAACACACTTCCCTTCACAGGAAAACCAAGGCCTGACTGCGATGATGGTCTAGTAGTTTGAACCCACCCACGATAACGAAATGGAAACAGTGGAGCACAATAAATATTTATTAAAGCTTGTGAACATAAATAGATAAGTTTAAGCATATACAAATTTGTGAGTTATTCAATTCAACTAATAATTACATAAAGCTTAAAAACCAATTATCAAATAATTAAATGTTCAAATAGTACTTATATACAAATTTACTGTTTAACAGGCAAAAAATGCTCAGTCAAACATTGGCTGTCAGTTGTCCACAGCTATGTTTATCAGTCTACCGTAGAACGGGAAAATATTTTTAGCAACTAAATGCATAAGGAAAAATGTATGTATGTATGTGTGGGGTAGTGTGCAAGCAAAAATTACAATTCGATAAATATTTTTTTTTTTTTTTGTGTTGTTTGTGTGCAAACAAAAAACAAAGGGAGGTGTGACAAAATTGGGCGGATGATCTACTTTAATTGCATGCACAAATAAAACAAGGGAAACAAATATCCATACGTAGTATGTGCCAATATCTACATACATACATGTATACATATGTGTGTGTGCGTATAGACAAAATAGTATGTAAATCCCACTCACATTATTCTGATCACCAATGTCACCGACATGAAGCGATTCAATGCAAATAACAAAATTCTCTTTCATATAGCCAGGATTCTGCGTTATCGCGTTAACGTAGTTACGAAAGTGCATTGCATATATGCGCATATATATTTATTTATTTATTGAACATGTGTATATGCATTTGTAGTTTATAGTTGTAGTTGTTGTATTTGTTAGATTTATTTGCCATTGCAAGTGTCGATTGCCATTTATCCATTTCGAATTGCATTGCAAATTTTATTGATAGAGTAAAAAAAATAATATTATTTATTTACACACATACAAGCGCACACAGCCAATATACAATACATATTCAACAGGCATTCATTCGCAACGCGTTTTTGCGTTCAGTTGATTCAGTGAATTTTTCATTTTTTTTATTCCATTTCATAGTTTTTTTGTTATTGTTATAGTTTATTGGCAATTTGTTGATTATCGATTGTCGTTGTGATATCACCAACAATAAAAGCGTACATATGTGAGTGTGCGTGCGTGTAGCGAAGATTTGTTTGTTGCCAACCGCCCCAACCGGTGCCAGTGACCGACCGGTGCGTGCGTGGAGCAGGTGACGGCCAGCAGATTAGCGTTTTAGCGTTTATTTGAACAATTTGTTGTTATGGTTTAATATAATTTATTTTGTTGTTAGTGACGCAGTTAAAATTGTCGTTTATAACATTTTTAATGTAAATATAGTAACACCATCACCAGCATTTTTTATTTTATATATATATATTTTTATTTTTTTTGTAAGCAAGCGAGTATGAGCGACATTTATTAAATTCACCATCACCAACCAAGTGACCAACCAGTCAATCGGAGGCGCACAGCACGCCGAAATGATGTCACACATTCGTTAGCATAATTAAACATTTAACAATACATGATTATGTGAAAATAGACAAACACGATGTCGTATTAGGATTGCGGGAAAAGAGAGAGAAAATAGAAAAAAGCGCATTAGTTAGTTTATGTTGGATTGTAAACTTACATTTGGTGTTTCGGCTCTGTCATTTGGCACGTGCATCGAGTCTATGACAATTCTGAAACCATCTTTCATAAATTTTGGATTCTACGGTAAATTTACAAAAGGATTAGTTTGTGAAATGGAAAACTTAAGAAATTTTTAAATAAAAGTAAAAAATAAATAGATAAATAAAAAGGTAATAAAAAAAAATGTATACATACATATGTATATGTATGCATATAATTTATTTTAAATAGTAAGTATATTAACTGACTAACTTGTACACTCAGCTAGCTTAAAAATATCGTCAAAATGTTAATGAGTCGGTCAGGCAGGTTCTGAAATTCACTTCCGGGTGAATATGAGTAAAATTTCGCTTTGAAGTGAATTGCAGAACCTTCCTGCATGAAAAGAACCTTCCTTCCTTCCTACGTTGTGGTGCTATATAAGCTTATTTTTTTGATAATAAAAGGATATACATACATATGTACAAATACATCTTTCTTTTGAGTAGTTATACAGTGAGTGTCAGTGAAAATTGTACCATAATTGTTTTCAAAAATTAAAAAAATCAAAGTTTCAAAAAAACTGTACTGTACGATTTTCACTGAAACTTATACATAGTTTTTTTTCTAAGGATTCGAAGAGAATACTAAATGATAGGAAATAAATATGGTAACCAAAGGTAAGGATAAGGATAGGATGGAGCATTTTCTATACAACCATCCGGCCTTTATCAGACTGAGAAGGTGCATTTCCCTATCATTTCTATCCCATCTTTAGGTTTGAGTGCTTGGAAACTGTATCTACACCTGTTTTCCCCCTGTCCTTCTTATCCTTCCCCTAGTCCTGTTTGCTTAGAAAGTCGAACATGAGTTTTATGGCCTACCACAATTCCATTCCATACAGTTAAGTTGTTATTCTAAGGAAGGCAGCACTTGAGGAAAGGACATCCAAATTCATCGACCGGTCTCTATTAAACCACGTCGCTCTAATGTAGGCATTGAGTACCAGCGAGGCGGAGGTAATTTAACTGGCAGAATGCTTCCACTGTACCACATTAGGAAGCATCTCAGTCCACTGGAATTAGATATAGCTCAGCAAAGGTCGAGTTGTCAAAGTCAATTACCTGCATCAAGCCAAAGCATCGGTAACTTTTATTTCTAAACTATAATTGATGGGAAATAATTATTTACGCAAATCCGTTCCAATTCGGCATTTAACCGTGGTTGCGCATATTGGACATTTCCATCAGTGATAGTTTAGAAGTAAAGGAGACTGATGCTTTGGCTTGATGCATTTCTGAACAGAGGGTAAGTAAATGATTATATAGATATATTTGAGTTATATATTTTACCAAAAAATATTTCTTAAGACATAATGAGATTCTAATTAGCCAACCCCTATTTCATAGACACTTAAACTCGAGTTTGACATTTTTAGGCTTCTCGCAGAGATAAGGTAAGTTATTAGTCGGTTCTACGTACGTACGGAACAACCCAGATTTATGTATATGTAGCCATGTACTCGCACTCCAGTATCTTTCCCCAAAATCATGCAGAGATAGTTTTGACTCTAGCTAATGCTTTCTTTGAATGCCAGACAACTTAACAGTCCTATAAAGAGCACTGCTATTAGCACTCTACGCGCTAATCGCTTTCTTCGTTCCTTTAACTCTCTAAAGTTTCTAAATTCATACTGATACAAAACTCCTTAGCGATTGCAGTGCCAACGTTACGATATCATCGTTTGCCTTTTTTTTTTAAATATGTTAGCACATCTTCACATACCGTTATGACCGTTCTGCAATACGGATATGCATTCCATGCCTCTTCGTGTATTTCTAAGGAACCCTTTGGTGCCAACAGTCTTATAAATGCTGGAACTTTTGATGCCAAATGGTAGATTTTATATGTATACTGGCCGGCATTATATTTACCACCTGTAAAATTAAAATGAAAAGTATGTGTGTAATTAAAAATTTCATTAAGATTTATGTACGAGTACTTTTTTGGTATAACTCATACTCACCCAACAGTGGATAATTATCGAATGGTTCGTTTTTTTAGCACTTCAATGCCTTCACCACCGCCAGTCTCATTCTTCGATGCTTCAGCAACTGAATAAAGTTGTGCAACTTGATACTGTGTAAGTATAAGAAACAGAAAGCAAATAAAAAATTAAATAAAGAAATGCATAAAGTGTACACTTTAAAAGAAAAATGTCCAACTTAGTTACAAAAGAATGGGAGAAATAATGTACGAAGGTTTGTGGAGAGAAAAATGATAAAAAGTTATGATTACAGCCGTACTGTTGCCAAATAAGGTTATGGGGGCTAAATGACAAATTTAAATATTAGTATTAGGAAGACGCTTAAATTTAGAAGGCAATAAGGATTATTAAGCATACATATATTTTGATGCTTCCTATTTTATACGTTTCGTTGTTTGTGTTTCCGACAGAGTATGCTCTATTGGGGAACAATTTTCCTTCATCACTTGTCAAATTTGGTTTGGAGACAAACTAGTTTCGGTGTTAAGATAGCAATATATCTTTTAAATATATGTAGCTGGAGTTGTGTACTATGTACTATGAAACAGTTTTTCATGAAAAATCATCACCGTTCGAATCTGACTTAAGAAATCCGCAGCAGAACAATCATACAATTACGTTGTGTACGTTGTGAAACTACCATATCTCTTTTTCTGGAACACCCCTGTTAAAACTACATGTTTACGGGACAGCCCGCTAGATGGCTCTTACTCTTTCGATGACAACACTTAACAATTACACCGATTTAAACAGTCTTCAAATAATGTTATATACAAAATTATGTTTTCATCAAAAGTAACCCTATTCTACTAAAATGCATTGAGTATACTTGGAAATCGAAAATAAAAAGTAAAAACTTAGAATAAGCTATGAAAAATGTTAAAGAGAGCGTGCACAATATTGAATTTTTAATTAATTTTCTATGAACGACGGTGACCGCATTCGCCTGGCCTCGCCATTGACGCCACATTGGCTAATTGGTGTTTATTTCCGATTTTTTTTTTTTTTTTTTTTTTTTTTGTTAATTTGTTTCTATTTCTTATTTTTCAACGAGCATACGAATAAGTGTAATTATGCAGCGGCGCGTTTACAATGACGGCGAGGCAAAAATAGCCAGGAGCCGATATGTATGTAAGTAACAAAGAAAAAATATAAAAATAGCAAAGAAAATTAAAATGCATAGAACTAAAACTGTTGGGTTGTTGGTCGTATGACGAAGAGGGTCTTCTATAAGATTTGCTTATTGCTTGCGCCACAGGCTGCATTCAATTGCATGTGCGGGTGTGCGGTTGCGCCGCATGTGATGACTGTAGACGTTCCAGTGAGGGTAAAGCATAGTTTTTGTACTTTTTTCTAGTTCCTAGTTTTTGGCTTCCTGTATACTAACCTCTTCCACAGTTAATGGCAAGGTAACGCGGCTGAAAAGAAACAGAAGCAGAAGAAAACGAAAATAATTAGTATACAATTTAAATGCTTGTAAATACTTAGTATAATATACGTATATGTATATTATACATAAAAAAATACCTACATATTTACGTATGTACGTATGTTTATATGTAAGTTTATACATACACATTCATACAAACATCGTAGGCATACAACTTTTTTCTTAAATTAAATATAGTTACATACCTATAAAGAGAAGATGAGAGATAAAAAACCAACAGAAATAATGTCTTTGTCAAAACTTTGTAAAAAATCGTAGGGTTCAGAGAAAACATTTTTCTAGACACATTTTAGAAAAAAAAAAATTGTACTACAAAAGAAATTAAAAAAAATAATTCCAGAAAAAATTTGTACTAACAAAAAATTATACTAACAAAAAATTGCACTAACAAAAAATTGTACTAACAAGAAATTATACTAACAACAAATTGTACTAACAAAAAATTTTACTAACAAAAAATTTTACTAACAAAAAATTGTACTAACAAAAAATTGTACTAACAATTTGTACTAACAAAAAATTGTACTAACAAAAAATTGTACTTACAAAAAATTGTACTTATAAAAAATTGTCCTAACAAAAAATTGTACTAACAAAAAATTGTATTAACAAAAAATTTTACTAACAAAAAATTGTACTAAAAAAAATTGTACCAACAAAAAATAGTATTAACAAAAAACTCCACTAACAAAAAATTTACTAAAAAAAATTTACTAACAAATAATTGTACTAAAAAAATATTGTACTAAATAAAAATTATAGTAGAAAAAAAATTTTATTAGAAAAAGAAATTGTACTAGAACATAATTTTTACAAGAAAAGAAATATGTATGAAAATTCCGCCAGGTAGCTCATATTTGTACTAGAAATAAAAAATTTTCTAGAACAAAAATTTTTACCAAAAAAAATTTTACTTGAAAACAAATTTATACTAGAAAATTTTCCACTAGAAAAAAAATTGTACTGAAAAAAAAACTGCTTTGGAAAACAATTTTTACCAGAAACAAATATCATTTTCATGGAAAATTTCAGGTCAGGCACCTCTGAGAAAAAAATTGTCTATAAGAAAATTTTACTAGAGAAAAAATTTGTACATAGAAAAAAATTGTTTACCCAAAAAAATTTTTTACTGAAAAAATAAGTTTTACTTGAAAAAAAAAATATAAAAAAATAGTACTCGAAAAAGAATAACAAAAAAAATAGTACTAGGAAAAAAAAATTCCACTAGAAAAATATTGTATTAGAAAATAAATTTATACTAGAAAAAAATTGTATTAGAAAATAAATTTATAATAGAAAAAATTTGTACTATACAAAATATTTTTACAAGAAAAAAAATTTCCTGGTTAAAAAAATGTGTACTAGAAAAAAAAAAATACATATTTATGGAAAACTCCATGTCAACCGAATTATGACTGAGATCAAGAATTGGTTTCTACATACGAGTATACTATTTTTTCTTTTATTCCATTGGCTTAGAATTTCCCCTCATACATACATATATGGGGAAATCCAAGAAACCTTTGTTTTTTGTTGTTACTCGGTTGTCTACATATGAAAAAATAATTAGTTCAGCTGCACGACTATCCGATCTGATGATATGCAATAAAGACGAAAGTTGGTCTGCAAAAATTTAGAACCTGAAAAACGTCGAGATTTACACTTTTTCAAGCGATATTCTGCACTTTTTTTCTCCATAACTTTTTGAGGCATTTATGAATCGTTCTTAACTTGAAATGTATGGTTAGGATCACTGTGCTACTCAACGATTCATATTGATCACACTTAGAATTAGAAAAAAAAACATTTTTTTTTTAGTATACAATTTTTTTCTCGGTGATCCCTGCAGGAACTGTTTGTTTTAAATTTTGACAAATATGTTATGTTTGTTGATTTTTCGTCATTCCTCATCCTCCCTTCATAGGTATTTTTTTTTAAGTTTAGAAAAGTCATATATTTAATGTAGATACATTTACAATCGTGTAAAGTCCAAGAAAAAAAAAGCTTTGCAAATACAAAATGCTAATTTGCATGGATTCATTACGGGTAATTGCGTACGTAATTGACACGTTTCAACGCCTGTTAGTTTTTCTCTGTACATACATACCTTTTTTACACTTTACGCTTAAAAAGTTTTTATTTTTTTATTTTGCTTGTTGGCAGTTTAAAAACTTTTGCCACACCTTTTACGCGCATTATTTATTGCAAACTTTGCAAAAGAAACTATGTACTCAGCTAAATGGTTTGAAAATGGCGAAAATTATGTGCCAGCGCCTATATATATGCAATGAAAAGTTATCATTAAGCAACGTTGCACCCCACAAGGCAGCGCGCGACATCATAAATTTCCAAATAACCATAAAAGTTTGCGCTTCATTTGTGAGACAGTTTAAGTGAAAAAAGGTAAGACAAACGGAGGAGCAGGCGAAAGCAAGCAGAGGTGGTGAAAGTGAGAAAGCACCAAACATTAACCCTTTCACGGCAATAATCTCGGAGATATTTTTTTGTATGGTTTGTGTTTGGTTCAGTGAAAACCTTGAAACTTTTACGTTGCCCCCCTACTCAAGGTCAGGCGGCTGGCAAGGACTACATACTGCATACGAGCCAGGCGAAAGGAATCAGGCGACTAAGACGAAACCGTGGACGAGAACGTGTGAAAGCTGATAAGAATTGTATTATTATTTGGCAAGTATAAATGTTTACAACGATGTGTAGGTAGCATTGTTGCTGTTGTATGTAGTTGGCGCCATTCAGACTACTACCGCAACTATAAAAAATAAATAAAAAGTAAGCAGCAAAAAAATACAAACATTGCCAATTCGGATATCGCGGTAAAGCCGCCAGTATTGTCTTTTGAATCTTTTAAAACTTACTATTGTTGTCATTTGCGGTTTTTGACTTTTACAGGGTGCTTCACATATAGATTTTATCTTAAGTGACTTTTTTTTGTTTTTTATTTGTCGGAACTAAAACAAAGCAAAGCGTGCAAAGAAAACAGCACTCAGCCTACATGTCGTCCATTGTGCTGTTGTCGTGTTCCCTTTATTCTGTTTTAAATCTATATGATTGACGATAAATCGCAGCCGATTGTTGGGTGTTAAAGAGCTCAGCTCAGGTTAGGTTATAGTGGTTGCCCCAGACAAGGGATGCACTTGGACAATGCCTGAGAATTCCTCAGTGTTAGTCAGGAAGTTCGAGCCAAAATGTTTCCGTATTAGCCTTGCAAAGGCTCGGCAGTCTAATAGAAAATACTGCGCCGTCCCCAGCTGAACCACACCGGCTGCCTTTCCTTGCCAAGCCACACACTTCATGCAATGCCACTTAAAGTTCAGATTAGGAAGTACTCCGACGGCGTTCATAAAGAGGTTAAACAAGATAACAAAAATAACACATTTAAAACTTCATTTCCTTAATTCAACGACTCTCACATCGTCTTCGGGGGTGAAATACACCAAACTGGACTGGAAGACAAATGTCGAGAGGCTCGTCGGGAGAGCCTTCAGCGTTTTACAAAAAAGATTGTTCTCTGGATGTAAACGGCTAACCTACGGTGCGTTAGTTTTGTGGCTAGATAAGAAATACAATGCTACAAAATTAAGCCGTACGCAAAATTTATCCTACATCAACTGCCCAAACACATCCGTGAAATTGCTGCGAACTCGGCAATCAGACTCAAAAAGTCTAAAAGAGTCAGAGAATGCATATGTACGTCAAGCTTGTCTGTCAAGTCAATAGACATCTCGCTCATCTGGGTTCCCGGCCATAGGAACATATACGAAAATGAGAGGACTAATGAATTGGCTAAGGCCGAAGCATATCGATGATTACGAAGCGAACAAAATAAACTGTCCCCTTGAACTCAACAAAAGTGCACTTTCAATTTGCGCTACGGCTGATACACGTTGGAACGAGCTACAAACCTGCAAAACTGGGAGTAATCTTATAGAGATCTCCAAGTGCTCCTTTACTGACATAAATACATAGATTCATCGACAAATCCAAACAAAGTGTTTTGACGTAACGGGCGAATCATGAAAACAGATAAAATCAGGGATCGCAGGGATAGTACTCTCAGCGCTAATTGAGTCATGGGCAAGGGCTCGGGCTCGGGCGGCGCTTCTAGATACCAACGAGCCAACTAACTATCTGCCTTTCTACAGCCTTTAGTGGGCATAAAGTTAAGCTAATGAGTTAGTATGAATTGAAATACATATGTGTGGGTCTAACTGGTTTAAGCGGTCGAAGAAAAAAAATCATTTGGTATCTGCTGCAAATACAGCTCTTTGCGACTAGTTTTCTTTAATTTAGAACTACAAGGTTCATCATAACATAAAAAAATATATTTAAAAAAATGCTCTTAAAAAATCAATGTTTATAGTTTTATCTGCATTAGTTGTTTAACCTTAGTTTTGCATTTACATACATACAAACATATGCACACTTTTATTGTTTCAGCGTTTGTTACCAACAAAATATCAAGATAAAAACAATTTATTGAACTCATTTCTTATCAACTTTTTTCTCAACCGTATACACATCAACGCACATATTTACAAACATACATATATCTACATACATACACGCTTGAATTCCATAAATGCTTTTACTGATTACGTGGTTCTGTTGTTATTTTTTTTAATTAACTTTACCCGAAACACTAACAGAAAATCAAAATCAAAAAATAAATAAATAAATAAAAAGTTAAATTAACCATTCAAACCAAAATAACAACACAGTTGCCGTTATTGCAGCTGTTTACAGTAATGGAACTATAGGTAATTAAGGATAGCTCCATAAATAAGTAATAAAGCACCGAAAATTAACACACAGTGACTCAAACAAGTGACCACGTGTTGATTTTTTTGAATATTCACAATGTTTTTCAATTTAAAATAAAAATACTGCCCAAGCTTTATAGCCCAATAAATTTTAGTTGCATAAAATGCAAATTGCAAGTGGCTGCAAAAT